CGGTTTATTAAAAATAAATAATGTTTTTATTATTTTTTATAAACACCACGCACACGTATTTCTCCCTGGACTCCATTTTTTTCTGGGAAAAATTCGTATATTTTTATTTATTTTTGTATATTTTTATTTTAAATTATTTTTAATTTTTTATTTTTTTTTATTTTTTTTATTTATATATTTGTATTTATTTATTTTTACTTTTACTCATTTTTAATTAATTTTATTTATTTCTGTTTTTTATTTATTTTTACTTTTACTCCTTTTTAATTAATTTTATTTATTTCTGTTTTTTATTTATTTTTATTTTTTTATATTTTTTTATATTTTATTTATTTTAATTTACTTTTACTCATTTTTAATTAATATTATTTATTTTAATTTAAGTTATTTTATTTTAACTTAGTTTAATTGAATTTATTTAAATTTATTAAAATTTATTAAAATTTATTTGAATTTATTTAAATTTATTTTTCTATATATATATTTCTATATAATAGATTAATTCAGATCTTTTGGAAAATCCACAAAAATGTTGAGTCACAACAAAATGGCATATTCCCTTTTGATAAGACCCTCCAAATAATTTAATAGTTTGTTAGTTGACAAGTTCCAATACTTGAAAAGAGACTAACTTATGTCTAATTTAGTTGGTAGACAAAGACAAAACGTTTTAATGAAGAGTCTAGTTCTAGTACATTTCTTAGAACTAACTGGTAGATGAATGAATGATTACTTAATTCATATTACTAATTATTCATTGTAATTATTGTCCTTCATTAAAATCGACTTTAATGACTTATGACATTTGAATATTATGAAAATGTAAACAAAACTAATTTAATAATTTGGTTACCTTTCGAAATGATTTTAAGTTGTTTTTAAATGTAACAAATATATACTTATGTCCCCTTTCCTTCTAGATAAATTCTACATGGATTCCCAAGTTCAAATCATGGATTCTCAAGTTTGAAATAGTAAAGAAATTTTAATGGAAGTAAACAAATGATAAAATATAAAATAATTCACAAGATTTATTGTAAGTAGCATTTATTTTAGGTTTTAGGCAATTCATGTTAAATTATCCTAAATAAATCCTACTAGTCCTAAAAATCCTAAAATTTCTTTTATCCTGTAACAGAGTTCATAGATTTGGAATACTATGGGTTCATATCCTGTAACAGAGTTCATAGATTTGGAATACTATGGGTTCAAAGTCACACATTTCGGACTTATTAATGATCTGCAGTAAAAAATTTCCTAGTTTGAAGACTCGAAATATTATTTCTACTGGATCTATTAACTTCTAAATAATACCCTTTTTTTAAAGTAATGTTTCTTTCGTTTGATTGTGTGCGATTTGTAAATGCATCAATAGTAGAGCAATATTCTCAACTTAATTAGGTTCAAGCTAGCGTCTCAGAAAACATAGACATTTGTATCTCGAAATACTCATAGGTACTTACATACTTTGAATTCTATAGTTTTCTGTGTTGTTCATTTATATTATATGGAATTGGAAAAATTAAATTTACTGTTCCAAAAACATTTTTTTTTTCGACAAGACTTATTTCGTCTGTTTTAAGTCACTAAAGTCACGCTTCTCGAATTTCAATATATTTATGGTCAACATCGTTCAGTTTGAAACACGCAATCTTTTTCAGTTATTGTTTCACACTTTGGCGGTTGTTTGATTGGCAGGTTTTTTCCTTAGAATTTGGCAAATAAACTAACATTTCCAAATGTTAGTTTCAACTTGAGTTTCGCCAATTTCTAAGAGGATTCCATGACTTCCGATACTTCCAAAGGAATTCCGCTACTTCGGAGAGAACTCTGGCTTAGTGTATACAAGGAAATCCGAATAACTCCTCAGTTAACCGGAGAAGTTCATTTTTCTTAATGATAGCAAAGAAACTGAAAGTGGCAAAATGCAACATTCATCTAATTTTGTTATTAAAAAAAAAAAAAAAATGTATAAAAAATGATCCACAAAAAAAATTCTAAAATAGGCCATGATCGACAAAGACAAATACGAGCCATGTCCGTGATAATTACTAATGCCTCTGAGTTAAATACAAACTCACATTTAAAAAAAATTGAACGCTTTGACATACGACATTTTTTTGTGGATCACTTATATTACACAGTATTGTAACCGCAGTCGGCGACATATTATTCAATTTCTTTCTATTCAATAGCATTGTTTTTATACCGTTTTCCAGGATTGAAAAGTTAACATATTGTAAATTCTATTTATTAGGAAAGGTTGTAATGAGAAAGAGTACTCAAATGCTAATTACAATATGACCGTAAATATACAGTACCGAAATTGTAACTCTAATCAGAGTTGCTATGGAAGTGACAGTGCTGTCAAACTTGTTTTAAACAAATACTAGATATCTGTCAGGGTATACAACTCTGTGAACAAGATGCTTACAACTGAAGAAAATATTTTTTTTATGTGAAGCTTGTAATTACTCAAACGAGTTTGGCAGAAATAATGGACCCAGCATTTCAAAGCATGGTACGAAACCTCCAAGACCGTCTTGAGCTATGCGCCCAACAGAATGGTTGCCATACAGAGCATATCATTGGCTTTTATAATAGACACTAACTTTGTAATTTTTATTAAATCTGTTAATATTTGTTAATATTCGTTTCAGTACTGTATATTTCTGGTCATACTATAGAAGCAACTAGTCAAATAGTGATAAAGAAATTTAATCTATTACAGTAATAAACCTGATAAACAAAAAAAATAAAAAGTAATAAATAACAACCTGTAAAAAAGATAAAAATATTCCGAAATAAGCAGAATTTTGCTTAACTAAACAGATAGTATTGTTTTTATTAGCATGCTCTTTATTATTATTAACCATTAAACGTTTTTATTGTCAACTGTTTACAATTTCCTAATTTTTGAATTTAGTCAGAATTCGGCCTAAAAATCAAAGCAAACATAATACTTACACAAATTCAATATATTATAAATTAACAATTAGAAAACTTTCCCAATACATTAAATCCTTGATTAAATCAGCAAATTACAGAATTGCAAAAAAAGTTAAACAACCTCCGCAATTCAGTTATAAAATTTATTGGGAATATAAAAAAAATCTAGTTTAGCAACATTTTTTGAAAGTAGGGTTGCCAGATTTTTCTTTTATCATAAAGGGACCAATGAAATGAAACAAAAATTTTACATATTTTGAAGAAAACTGTGTAAGGCATATGATTTTTCGGTTGCCCTTTACGTATTTATAAAACTCTTTTTCCATTTACATTATAATTGTAAAAAAGTCTACCTACTGTCCACAAACCAGCATATCCACCAAGATCTTAGTTATCCCTACCACAAAATATAAATATTTCTGGAGATTCACAACTTGCGAAATCATAATTATTACTATTAATATTTTAAAATTTAAATTGATTTATACATTCTTTTTTATTTTTATTGTTTAACCGTTTCCATGTGACAGTGGTGACAAGCGACACTTAAAGACGTTGACCGGTCAAATGTCAAGAGAGGAGGTGCGTTCACCTCAGTGTGGAACAAGTTTCTCTAAGTGTGATTTGAGTGATTGGAGGTGGTTAAAGGAAATCAAAATTTGTTAGTATTGAATTCAAAGAAATTTTTTTGAAATTTGATTTATTTGTTAGATAAATTTTAATTTAAATAAATGTTTGTTATGAATTGATCGAATTGATCTTTTTAATGTCAAGGCAAAACAATCACGTGAGTGATATTTTTGTTTTGAAATTGTTATAACAGGAAATTTTCTGAATTTTTTTCAGTATTTAAATGAGTTAATATGGGGATGGTGTATTTGTTATGACATTCTAGTAGGATCAAAATCAGAAAAACCCAACCCACCGAATTGTTTTGGGCATTTTAAATAGGGATTATTCTTTTTTTTTAATAATTATATTTGCGTACATGCACTCCCCATTCCGAAATTTCTTTCAATTTGCCTTTGATGCCCGTTATGACCTGTTCGATATTGCGTTTTAATTTGAAAATAGTAGTTCTATACTTATTTTTTCATTCTTTATAGAATAAAGCAATAAGTCAGCCCCTCGGTGATTCGCCTATGGCTAGACGTAGTAAAAAAATTCATAGAATGCACGAAAATGACGACAAAGTTGAAGAAATGGCGGAGGAGCGAAGTGGTTACTAGAAACATTACATGTACTGGAGCCGTGGCGAACCTTCTGGTCACTTTAATTTATAGCGAATTGGCTATAGGAATGTTCTCTATGTAACCAGAATTTACAACCGAACATTACCAGCGCTCACTTATCTATATATAAATAGGCAACGACAAATAAGTTCAGTACCATTTTCTCTTGTTTGTAAAGATATTTTTTTTAACTTTGTTTAGTAGCTATTGACGAACTCTACTGTTCTCTATAGAAAATGGAAATACCTACTTAGTAGTTTTTTTTCAAACCTTCGATATATGAAATCCATTGATCTACAATTATGAATTATGATTGACTAATAAAATTAGCCTATAGCAAAAAATGAAACAAAAAATTACTTCCCTCTCACTCCTCCACTCTTCCTCTGCCATGCCTAAATAGTAAGAGATTGAAAAATATTAAAAGTAGGGCCATAGATCATTTTTAAAAATCAATTAGAGTGCAAAAGAACATTATAATGAACAACCCTCTAAAAAACAGATTAAGAGATTTTTCCAAAAAAATACCGACGAATACCCATAACATTTTTGAGAATGGCCCAGAATACCTAAGGGGTGTACACATAAGAATACTCAATGTATTTAATCCTCGGTATTCCATAAGCCTGTTTTTTTACTATTACCCATCTGTGTGTATTATTCTTCTGCTACTGTCTTATTCTAAATATTTTTTGGGTAATATAAACAAATTTTCTAATCTTATTATTAAAACCCAGTGGCGGATCGTGGCCAAAAGATTGGAAATACATCATTTAGTAACAAATAAACAAACAAATAAAATTGTTAATAAAAACTTACCTTCAGGTAGCGAAACGACAGGGTGGAATCCAGGATCCAGCAAGGCGACCTTCTCCGAGCGGCTGAACGTATCCGGTGGATCCCGAGGGTGCGTGGGGTCCGTCCTGCCCGTACAAAGAGCACAAGGATTGGACAGGGGCACGCACCCACATCGTACGGTGCTCGGCCTTGCGGCCTTTCTCGAGACAGCGTGAAGTCCTGAAATCTGCAGCAACTTCCTCTTCCTGAACTTCACTAGAGGTCTGGTCCTGGCGCACTGATAATCCGCACTGAGGTTTTCCGCACCCGAACTATCCGCAGCCTTTGAGGTTAAAGGCGAACTACCCGGGAGTTGACCTCTGTACCCGTTTAAGGCCGTTTGCGATACGGAAGTTGCTGTGTGGGGCGGGCTCGCGCCGCCTAGTTGTATGACACCTTTGTTCAAGCGGATCTGCTTGTGCAGATCCGTATGCTGGCGAATCCGATACTCTAGGTCGGCTATTTGCGCCTGCAACCACGTCCACCTGGCGGCTATCATCGCTCGATCCGTTGAATATTTCCATAATGCCCTCTTTTGTCTGAAATATAAAAAAAAATTATCAGTTCTTTGCAAGCTAAGTATTTGATAGTAATCGCTCAAATAAGTACAAATCATTTTAACAACGAAAACTAAGGAAATAAGTGATATAATAAAGGAAGTTGCTGAAATTGTACATGTTATTGTAGTGATTGCACTTAAGAGTGATAAGTATCTATACGCAGTTAGGGTACTTGGTTTTTCGTATACACGCTTCGGTCTATAGGACCAAAACTATTTGATATTTTTTAAATCTATTTTTACAGCGAGATGTATATTAGAAAACGTAACAATTTAAAAATAAATTCAATTATACAAGGTTCTACAGGAAAGTGATACATATCAAAGTTAGGTTTTTTAAATGGGACACCCTGTATTTGATTTTATATTTTAATTGTCCTCGCTGTTCCCATTATAACAACATCAAATAGTATAGGACTACACAGGGTATTTCACAAGCTATAACCAGTTTTATTTGAAAATCATTTTTTTTGCGATAAAAAATTTTCGATGTTGGTCAACATTTATGCAGACGTATTTTTTTTTTTTTTAATTTGAAACAAATCTGTACAGGGTGAATCAAAACTATTTTTTTTACTTTTTAGGGTTTCCTTCCCAAAGGGTAACCAACGAGACCCTATTAATAAGCCTCCGCTGTCCGTCCGTCTGTCAGCGGGCTGTATCTCATAATCCTTAATAGGTAGACAGTTGAAATTTTCACAGAATGTGTATTTCCGTTGCCGCTATAACAACAAATAATAAAAATAATTAAGAATTAAAGGGGACTCCCCTACTAGAGCCGTGTTTTGGCTTTTTTGCTCGATCTTAATAAAGTATTTAAAAAGTACCTACATAGTATTAAATCTTGTACGATGGTGCGGAGCCCTTCATGCGCGAGTCTGACTCGTACTTGGCCGGTTTTATTTTAATTTACCACCTTGTATTTCATTACTTATTTAAAAGTACCCTAATTATACTTTCATTTGAGTTAAGCATTCCCTCCCTATACCTAAAGTTAATAATTTTGGGAGATTTTTAAATTTAAATGATAAAAAATATAATTCATAAAATACTTTAATATTAACAGGTTAAAAGGAAAACTGTTTATTAATTAGTAATTAGAATGTAACCAGCTACAATTTATTCGATAATACTGTATTATAATATAATTAACCTTTATTCTAAGTTTATTATATTTTAAAATTATTACTCACGCAACAAAAATTGCCATAAATAGCTCTATTTGTGTATTGAGAGCGATAAGTGATACTTTGCCGCTTGAGAGAAAGCGGTAACGCCGCTTGAGAGAAAGCGGTAACGAAAAAGCGGCAACTAACTTTTCGCTCAAAATGCACACAAGATGTTTTCTACGATCACACTTTTTTAAGAAATATATATACAGGGTGATTTTTTGAAAAGGATCCACCCTCGATAACTTCGTTCTCGTCTTGATTCAGGTAAAATTCAAAAACAGGTAAATTTTTAACCTTAGGGGGACACATTTTTAGATCACTGATTTTGTCGGATCAACCACATGGCCCCACCAGCCCCCACCTCAAAAACCTCATAGGGCATACTCAAGCTCCTCAAAAATTAAATGTATGGGCAGGAATACTAGGCGATGCGGTAGTCGGTCCGATTTTCATTAATGAGACTTTGACTGGCGAGGTATATTTAGAGCTGCTGGAGGATATCATAGATCCCTTGATAACGGTTGAAGTTGAAAATCAGCGGGATCAAGATAGAAATCTTGTACTTGAAGAAAATGAGCTTTTTTTCAGCAAGATGGAGCCCCACCTCACTTCGCTGTGAATGTTCGGAACTGGCTGAATCAGATTTCCGCATCATTGGATTGTCAGGCGGGGAGCAATAGAATGGCCTCCACGGTCACCAGATTTGACAGGACCAGATTTTTTCCTCTGGGAGCACCTAAAAATCTGTTGTCTTCAAAACTCAACCAGCAGAATTAGTGGAGTTGCGACAACGAATAACTGACGCATACAGAAGAATCCCTAGAGAAACCTTTCAAAGGGTGAGAGAGGAATTTGAAAACCGCCTTTACTACTGCATGGAGAATAACGGTGGTCATTTTGAGCACTTGTTGTGATTTTGCTTCCTTTCACTCTAATCCGTTTCTTCTCGTTTTGTAAACAATTAATACGATTTTTATTCCAAAAATTTACCAATTAAAGCGAAATGTAAATCTATTTATTGCAATTTGTCTTTTTCTTGAACCACCCTGTACAAAACGAAATAATTCTTACATGGTCGTATGGTAAATGCAAAAACCTTTCCAACGAGGGGTCACTCGGCCCCCCCTTGCTATTAAAGGTTTTTGAGGTGGGGCCTGGTGGGGCCATGGGGTTGATCCGACAAAATCAGTTGTAATCTAAAAATGTTTCCCCCTAAGGATAAAAATTGACCTGTTTTTGGATTTTACCTGAATCAAGACGAGAACGAAGTTATCAAGGGTGGATCCTTTTCAAAAAATCACCCTGTATATATAAAACTAAAAATGTGTCGTAAGAGTGTATGTGTTGCCCGAGGTGTTGCATATACCTACGTTAATCATGAGAAAAGCTCGTCGAGCGACAAAGCTGTCACTTAATGTTAGTTCGCGGAAAACGTCAACGCAAAAGCCTACTTTGGATAGTGTTCGTAGAAAAAAGCATCTTCTTAATACGAGGGAGACTGCCAAAGTTCGCGGAAAATGTAAAGTAAAACACAAATTACGTTATGTAAATCGCTTTATTGCTTCTCAAAATATTCTCCTTTAAAATCTATACAATTTTGCATCCGATGAAACCAATCTTCAAAACAATTTTGCCATTCTGAGCGAGGTACCTTCAAAACAAGTGATTTAAATGCTTCAACCGCCTCTTCAGGCGATGAAAAACGCTCGCCACGCATTTTATTTTTGATATGTCGAAATAGGAAGAAGTCATTGGGCGATAAATCAGGCGAATATGGGCAATGAGTCATTAATTGGATGTTGTTACTGGTCTCAAAAACTCTACAGTTCGTCGTGCTGTGTGAGCGCTTGCATTGTCATGATGAAGAATGATTCGCCGGTTTATGTTGTTCCTTCTGATTTCAGCGATAACTTCCGGCAAACAAATTGAAGTATACCAGTCAGAATTAACTGTCCTTCGATCCTCTAATGCAACAGTTGCAACATGACCCGTTTTTCCCAATGAACTGGAGGGGGGTAGAATGCCAATGTACATGTTGTACTATTAGAACAAGGTGCGACTCGATGGGCGCAGCCATTTTTATTGTTCATCTCACTCGGGACTATTTATAATAACCATTTTCTGTTTCACATTGTTATTGTTCAATCCACAAGCTGGTGGATCAGACAATAACAATGTGAAATAGAAACTGGCTATTTTAAATACTCCCGAGTGAGATAAAAAATAACCTATCTTCGCCCATAGAGTCGCACATCAAGTCTATTGACAAGCATTCTACCCCACTCCAGTTCATTGGTTTTTCCGAAGAAACAAGCAATCATTCTT